AAATGGAGAATCACTTTGCAAAGAAAATAATTATTCTTATGGTTTCTCTCTTTTGTGAGATCAGTCCTCGTATGTTGAATAAAAAATCTAGATATATGAAATCCATGTTTGAGATTCACTTAATTCTCTCATTTCGTAGGAGAAAAAACTCAAATAAATTCATTGAAATACATTTAAAACCCCAGCTTTTAGCAGAATTAGCATTAGAGCCCAGACCAGTGCATCGTTTTTACCCCGACAAAAGCGATTTCAAGAGAGTGTTCACACTTCTTCAGGACTGTTTTTAATGGAATTCCAGGTTAGATTTGTTTCACAGCTGTCCACTGTGGCTGTGCTACAGAACAGGCAGTACTTAGTCTTCCACTTTGACCTTGAGCCTTTGCCTTTACTATTGTATGAATGATCCACTGATGTGGAGCATTTTACATGACTCAATCCAATAGAAAGTATCTGCCGTTTAGGAAATAAGAGTTGTACTCCTTTTTTTTTAAGTTTACATCACTGGCAAAATTCACTTTTTCACTGCCCTGTAAACCTGCTGGTTACCTGGCTACTGAGAAATGAGTCTGATATTCTAAAACAACTGATTTTTATTTAGACAGAGTTACCAATAGGATGGCAGCACACATTTCGTTACTGTAATAGAACGTGCTAAGTGGTTGTGCCCACGGAGATAGGTGGTTCTACGAATGCAGATTCGGAGGTCACATAGAGAGGAACCTCCCTAGGCATTCCCCGCCATGGGTGGGGATGGCAGGCAGCCCTCTTCTGTGCCTTTTCCTTGGTATTAATGGGTTCTGTACTGAGCAGCTCTTGGTTCGTGAGAATTCTGGTGCCTTTCTGATACTGTAAGAAAAAGATCCCTCGTCCTGCCAGAGGACTTACAATCTAATCTAGAGTCAGTTCAGAGAAGCTTTAGTTTTTCTCAGCATAAGAAACTTTTTTTTTTCCAACAAAACTGCAAGCAACATTCATCACTGCAGCAAATGTATTAAATAAATATATTAATTTTCTGAAAATCCATCAGTTCAGGGTTTTCCCATTCTCCTAAGGTTACTTCAGAATTCAAAGACATTGGAAGAGGGTGGGCAGGTACCAGAGACCTGCTCCTTAGTGGGACTGTCGCCCTTGCAGACATCTTCAAAGATACCCATGCCCAGCCCATTCTTATATGAGATTCGAGGGGCCTTGTTCATGACTTAGTCTTACTAATCACTTGGAACTCCAAGGCTTTGGTTTTTGAAACTGTAATCCCTTATCTCTGCTTTTCTTATGCATTTCTTTCTACTGACTGAATATGGTGAGGGCGAAGGAACATAAGAAAACATAGGAAGATAAACCTTAGTTAACATGAATCACTACACATTGTGTTTTGTGATTTGTTAAAACTTTGCTTGTGTTGTCATTAAAGAAAATAATGCATTGCTTTTTAAAATAAATTTATAGTTGGTATAATTTAATTGTATTTGTCAGGTAAACTGAGTTAGTTGTCTGTAAAATCATCTTCAGTTACATGTGAGAAAAACATTACTTCTGCGCAGATAAACAGTAGAGATTATCATATTAAAAATTTTAAATGACGGGGAATTTTGTTTCTCTCACTAAGTAGTGTTGTTTTGGGTGGGAGAGTTCTGAAGAAGAACTGAAGCACCCTCCCTCTCTTTCTCTGAGCAAGTGCTGCATGAGAGTCTGTTATATACCAAGCACTATCGACTGCGTCCAGTGTGTTCTTTATTTTGAGTGTCCTATGGGTCCATGCAGTTGAAGGCAGAGTGGATCAGTTCAGTTATCATAAAATATCATTGATGATACTCTTGTTTTTCTAGTGTCTATCAAATAGTTGTTGAGGAAGAACGTCCTCGAAGAACTAAAAAGACAACAGAAATCTTAAAGTGCTACCCAGTGCCAATTCACTTCCAGAATGCTTCTCTGCTGAACTCACAGTACTACTTTGCTGCAGAATTTCCTGCAGACAGCCTCCAAGCTGCGCAGCCTTTTACAATTGGTGATAATAAGACATACAATGGATACTGGAACACTCCCCTTCTCCCCCATAAAAGCTACAGAATTTATTTCCAAGCTGCTAGTAGAGCCAATGGGGTAAGTTGTACAGATAACTGTTTACTTCGGCTATTCGGGGTTGTTAATGTGAACATGGATTAAGTAAAATAGTAGTAAAATTGAAGTCATGCTTTTCTGCATTTCTACTTGTAAACAAATGTGATTTTTCTTCTCTTAAAATTATTTCCGTCTGGAGAAATTTATGGAAAGAAACGAATATACTCATCTTTATATATATATATTTTTTTGTTTGGAGGAGTTTATCATCAACATGATGGGTTTTATTTTCAGTTTTCCTGTTACCGAAAGTTGGCTGGCAATTCTGCTTAGCTTACTATTTTACAGGAAGACAGTATAGCTCCAACACATACATTCAGCTCGTTTAAAATGTGAGATTCACAGCATCTGTCTTTTCAGCATAGTCTGTGCCATTAAAGAAATGGGAACTGAAGAAGTTCCACAAGAGTTTCTACTTCCTATAGCTGTGACTAAATTTGGTGTCTTTTTTTTTTTTTTCATAAGAGAAAATAGAAAGATGAGAGGGAAACAAAATAAAAAGTGTCATTTCTGAATTTGTTTTCCTTTCCTGTTCAGACCAGCGCAGAACTCTGCTTGAGATTGTGAAGGCTCCTTAGAGAGAGGAAATGTTTCACATATACCACAGTGGGTCCCTCCTTCACAGCATAGGTCTAGGTACCATTGTCAGCTTAACTTTTGCTGGTGAAAAGCGGGGAAATCTGAGATGCATCGTACTTCTCCAGTGCTGTTTGCTCAGGAGGAAGTACAGGGACGGTGAAGGAGGTCTGGGGCCACCAGGCAGAGGCGTTTTAAGTGTAGCTCCTTGTTCATCATCTGGTCTAGAAATGCCCAGCACCACCGGCACTGGAGCCAGAAAATGTATCTGAGTGTGGTTCAAAGAATAATTGCTGTGTGATTAAAGACACGCCTGGAACAGTGAGATCCCTCTTTATCAGTGTTATTTAAATAGAACTATAGATATTTCTATTTGTTTTAAATAAAACATGAATAATGATTTTTCCCTCTCTTTATTTGACACAGGAAACCAAAATAGACTGTGTCCGAGTGGCCACAAAAGGTAGGTTGAAATTGTGGAATGCTCTCCTAATTAATGTTCCTTAAAAGTTTATTTTAACGTATGTTTCAAAACTTTTTGAACTGTAACTTGATTGAAAATAAATGTATTATATGTACATATATATGCATGAATGCATGCATGTATTAGGATCTGATGGTAATTAACATTGACTGACTGTAACTCATATAGATACTTTTTAAAATAAGAAGCTGTATTTCTGTGTTCCAAGCAGTTTTCAATAGTTACCTTTTTCAAATTTTTTCAAATGAATTTAATTTTTATATGATCTCAGTACACGTTTTTAAAACCATACTATCATACCTGGTTAGTACCACATCTAGTGAATCTTGATATGCCAAGGAATAAAATATCACCCACTATTTTTAAGCAGTGATCGAATTATAGTAGCAGTAGAAAGTGGAGTCCACATGGGCTTTTTTCACTAGTGGTGCGTGTCTCTCTGAGCCTAGTAACCAGGTTATGTTACTGTGGAGTGTCTATTTCCCAAGCCTGGTTAAAACTCTGAGATAATGTGACAGAGGATGAGCTGCAAAAGTGGGTAGGGCGAGTTACCCTGAGCTCCCCACATAGCACCTCCTGCAGAAGCAAGTGCAGACGTGTGTTTGTGAACATGAGCTGTCATCTGGTCAACTTGACAGTGTTGTTTTAACCATCACATCCAGAAATGTATAAGAAAATGATTTGAGAAATTTAAAATGTCATCTTAAATGAGGCAATATAAATTAACACTCAAAGTTAAATACCCTCATTCAGACCATTGGAGTGGCCATGAGTACAGTGGGAAGTTCTGTATGATTTAATTTAGAGGCGATGGTAAAAACACATCATTAGGTCTGTAGCAGAAGATTTAATTGGGTCATACTTGATGAGTTGTGTTGGATAAAATAACTTCTTGTTGTTGTTTAACTCTCAGGTGAATATAGTTTGAATATACCATGATGTACATGTGCATTTTCAAAATTCTCATTGAATTCTTATTTTGTGAACCTACATGACTTTTTTAGTCAGTGTTAGCTCAACAAATATTTCTTGGTTGCATGTTTTGTGCAAGGTATCGTGTGAGGTACTCACCTCATTTGTATCTTGTTTGTCCTCATGGGCTTGTAGTTCTATATCCAAACATCGATTTATACTAATTTTAAAACACTCAATTTTTATATCATATTATACCTAAGTGACTTTAGTACAGGAATAAATTAATATTTACTGAAATTATAGCTGCTTATGTGTTTCATAAATTGCCGTATGTTATCAGCTATTAATTATTATAGGACGATGAAGCCCTTGAACCAGGTATCCATTGATGCTCTTAGATCTCAAGGTTTTGGTCCATGCTCAGCCACAGGAATTTCAAAATACTGCTGTATCACATTTCACTTACGCTTAAGGCCTGAAAAAGTAAATCCTGCTCCAGGGCCCCTAGTTTATAATGCTCAATGTTTAACGTCACAGCTGAAAGTTTTGAAACCTCTTTCATACATGTGTTCTCATTTATTTCTTCATTACTATGAAAAGGGAAACAGGTACTGCTATTCTTATTTTTTAAAATGAGGAAAAGGTGTATTTTTGGAGATGAATTGACTCACCAAGGTGACTCAGCTGATAGTCTGGGGATCAAGGCCTGCACTCCTAGCCCCAGTGTTTCTTTCACCATTGCTCATGGCTCGTCACCCAGCAGCACCTCTGGCCCGTGACAGTATTGTGTAGTGTAAGCATCAGACCTCTTTGTGAGGGTTGAGCCACTGCCCAATTTACTGTGAAAACAACAAAATATCTGTCATCATGCTCATTTACATAGTTAAATAATTATATAAATAACACACTAGTAAATGTGGAAACCTGACAAGTTTGCTGTTTTCACAATAGATTGAATTAGATAGTGATTTGGATCATTCTCTTCCATCAGCTAGATTTCATCAATATTGTAATTTGTTTTTCAATTCACCAAAGGATGATTAAGCAATCAGATGACCTGATTGACTAAATATTCCCCACTCCTATTTTCTGAGTCATTTGCAAACATTTACACAGCAACAAACTCTATCCAAAGAACCTCTTTTGGGAAAAGAGGGAAACAAATTTTAATATTTCCTGCATAACATTGTCATTTCTGTTACATCAAATCATAACACAAGAGGAAATCTTGGAAGATATTCTCCCTCCAGGCAAAACTACACTGTTTTGCGCTATTTTATTAAGTTCTCCATGGACGAATTCAGCAACCCTCCTTTCAGCACAGTGTAATGTTTCATCACCTTTTAGTCAGAAAATTTGTCCTTATTGATACTGGAAATTCTCTTGCAACATGGGAAGCCATTCCATCTTGACTACATAGTCAAAACAGAGAAATGGAAGATCTAATAACTGTTGGTACCACAGAGTAAAGATGTTTAACATGTAAAAGAGTTCAAACATCCTGAGTGTGTGTGGCCACATACTGCTCACACTGCGATGGCTTAATTGAGTTTTCAGACACAGAATTGCTTTCCTAAGCAACATTTTGAATGTACAGAGATTTCAGTGTTCTCCTGAAACAACTATTGACAAGTATCTTTATAGAGAAAGTATGGAGGTGGGTTTGTTTTCACTAAGAGCTAGCTTATAATTTAAAGTAAGGGTATGTCTCTTAAAAATATATTTCATACTATTTATAAATTTAATGTAGTGATTATTTTAATCATATTCCAAAGATATATTTTGACACTCATCATCTTAAATATTAACTTCATAAAAGTTAGACAGGAAGAAACCTAAGCTGTATTATTATATATCTCCCTATGTGTGGGGGATTGTCTGTATTTTTATGCATCCTCTTCATTTATGCACCTAGATAAATTTCCTATAGGTACATGTTAACTATAGGCAAACTCATCACAGAATATTCTCTCTTGAGTTAAACGATAAAGACACCATACACCAGGGTGTACGTGATGTTTATGTGTTACCTGCCCAATTCAAGGGATTGTTTTTAATTGTATAGTGGAGTGAATAGAGGAGCTTTTAAATATTTCTTAAAATCTGTGAAATTGTATTTTTCATTAACATTCACATTTTTATAGTTGGATTTTTAATGACCACTTGTCCAACTGTGTTTTAGTGATTAGTGTATGTGTTTTCTTTAGCTTTTATATTCACCATAGTGATCTCATGGCAACTAGTAGGGTGGAAACTCTTTGCAGCTAGTTTTAGAAGGCTTCACTGATGATCAATTCTGAACTGATAGGGTACACTAAAACTCCAGATGTCTTATTTGTAAGTTAGATTTCTTATATTTAATGAGGTCTATTCATTCTAATTGATGTAACAATTAGTTTAAGCCATGTACATTATCTTAATCTTCCATAAAATAAGATTTTTTCATAATATTATGGCACCGCATGTTTGTCCTTGGCAGTATACCCATTTGGGAGCTTTCCTGTTGTCCATTTAAAAATTACTTGAGTGCCTCCTTGATTTATAAAAGTGCTGGCTGGGAACGGTGGCTCGCGCCTGTAATCCCAGCACTTTGGGAGGCCGAGGCAGGCAGATCACAATATCAGGAGATCGAGACCATCCTGGCTAACACAGTGAAACCCCGTCTCTACTAAAATTACAAAAAAAAATTAGCCGGACGTGATAGCGGGCATCTGTAGTCCCAGCTACTTGGGAGGCTGAGACAAGAGAATGGTGTGAACCCGGGAGGCGGAGCTTGCAGCGAGCCAAGATCGCGCCACTGCACTCCAGCCTGGGCAACAGAGCGAGACTCCGTCTCGAAAAACAAACAAACAAACAAACAAAGTACTTGGGGGGTTTTTTGGGTTTTGATATATGGGGAGCAGTCGTATATGTTAATTTGATCCTCTCCTTGCTGTTATTTGACTATTGTCTAGCTGAAGCTTGTACAACCCATGGCCTGTGGACCACATGCAGCCCAGGATGGCTTTGAATGCTTCCCAGCACAAATTTTTAAGCTTCCTTAAATCATTATGAGATTTGGCTGGGCATGGTGGCTCACGCCTATAATCCCAGCACTTTGGGAGACTGAAGGAGGAGGATCACCTGAGGTCAGGAGTTCGAGACCAGCCTGGCCAACGTGGTGAAACTTCGTCTTCACTAAAAATACAAAAATTAGCTGGGCACAGTGGCAGGTGCCTTTAATCCCAGCTACTTGGGAGGCTGAGGCAGGAGAATCACGTGAACCCAGAGGGCAGAGGTTGCAGTGAGCTGAGATTGCACCATTGCATTCCAAACTGGATGACAGAGTGGCATTCCATCTCAAAAAAATATATAGAGATAGATAGATATAGATATATATGATTTATGCATGGGTTTTTTGTTTTTTGTTTTTTTTTTAAAAGCTCATCGACTGTTGTTAGTGTATTTTACATGTGGCCCAAGAAACTTCTTCCAGTGTGGCCCAGGGAAGTCAAAAGATTGGACACCCCTGGTCTAGCCAGAAATCAAATCAAAGGCTTCATATAAACACATGCTAAATTATTTTCCAAAAGTATTAGAGAAATCAGACTGTAAGCCTTAAACAAAAAGAAAACAAAGCATTTTTTCAATGTTATATTTTAAGGGAATTTTTCATGAAAAGATTATTCATTTCACTGTTTTTGTAAGTTTAGAATTTTATTTAACTTAAAATTGTAGTGGAACATAAATATGGCTTATTGGAAGACCTTGAGGAAACTTTGAAGGATTTCTATTGTCCTGATATAATTTCTATCTTCAGAAATATGAATGTTTCTTTTTTTAATCACTAAGGTTTTTGAGAAGTTTCTACAGACTGTTTTTCTGTTCACTGTTTTGTTCAATGAAATACTATCCTTTGTAGGCCATAATGGTACAGAATGAAAGGGCGCTGATAAAAGAACTGAAAAGATTGTCTGTTGAGATGTAAAGCTAATTAAGATTCCTTTTAATTTCTTATATTCTCTACATGAGAAAATGAATTATATAGCAAGACCACTCATATATGCTAATCTGCTGTTATTTAG